TGCATTTGATTCGTCTGAAGAAGGCTTCATACACCTTCCCTGGTATGGAGGAAGAGATGTGCAGCAGACACCCACCACAAGGTCTCCCTTGATGCTAAGCCCTCTGATCTTGATCCAGAGGCATGAAATAGACAGGTCCTCTTGTACCGAGCTATGCTACACGCACTGAAACTGCTCTTCTACCTACACTGCAACTCCTCCTTGTTTTCTGCCATTTACTGAACAGCTTGCAACCGTCCATGACAGTGCTCCAGTCATGTAAACTATCCCACTCAAAATTCTGTAAATTCCAAAGATACACACCTCTGTGCCTGCATAGAAAGTTCCAGTTATTCCTGTTTCTCAAATTGGGAATGTTTTCCATATGCAAGAATAAAGAATAGCATAGTTTTGGTGAAATAATTAAGGATTACATAAATAAAATGTGTCCCACAGTGATTAAGCAAAGACCAAATGTTTCACCCCAAGACAGTTATATTCCAAGATATTAAAATGTTAAGAAATCATCGTGTTATACACATAGAATTCCCTGATCATTTTTCATGTCCAAGTAACCGTATCTTCCAAAATACAGCATCTCCTAACTGAAGAACTAATTTCTTTAGACTACTAAGCTTCACAAAAGACCCTACAAACAGTAGAACTGTCAACTAAAGAAGATAAAGGGGGGAAAAAATGGGGAGCTCAACAGAATTCATGACGTCAAGTAGATGCAGCCTCCTCAAATCCTTTTAAAAACACATACAAAAGTCAGCTTTTATGAAAAGACTCCATTTCTTTAAATGCATTACTTACTGTGCTTTTTTCTCATGTTCTTGAATAACAAGATTTTCCTTTACGAAAATTTGCAGAAGTTTATTGTATGCGACTCTGTGTCTTGCATTTGCCATGTACATATCCTTAGGCCTCAACTTCACAGCTTCAGCAAAAGGTATACCAGTGCCTAAATGAGAGTTAATGTTTGGATTACATCATTCACTTTCAGCAAACACACAACTTCCTAATTTACCTAGTTTGAACTGAATCACAAATCCAGATGCCCATTTTACCTGGACTGAAATAGAGTATGCAGTGAACTGTCTTTTTTTGCCAGTTCTTCCTGTTGTACACATCTTCATTCCCTCGCTCTCACTCCCCTTCGCTATTCTTTAGGTCACCAAAACAATACAAGATGCCTAGAACAGACAACTCTGATCCTTCAGAATTCCTCAAAGTTGTGAGGAAGGTTACAGTGTAGTGATCCAATATTTTTGGGCCAAACCATTGCTTGTGTGGGTAATGGTGTACAGCATTACACAGATGAACTCTGGAGCAATCAAAACAACCTCCATCATTCTATCAGCAGAAGCTCTATGCAAGTGCACAGAACCTTCTGAAAGATTTTGAACTGAGCAGCCAATTCAGATGTACTTAGTGCTCTTGGCTTACATTAAAGACTTGACAGATTCACTGTCAAACACCACAAGTGACGCATTTCAATTGTTCCATTAGAGCTTACCTACGGAGATCCTTTTCAAGTCCTCAGTCATTACATATCTTGCAAACCGATACAACAGGTGAACAAATTTATGACCACCAGGAGAAATAAGTGAGGAAGGTGTAACTCTTGGAAGACGGCTTTCTTTTTCTTTCTAGAAAAGTTAAAATGGTTTTAAACACAAAACTAACTTAAGAAATAAAGCCCAAACAACAGCCATCAAACATTCAGCTGAATAGCAAAATACTGCAGCCTACTTGCTAGCAAGCCTGATGCAAAGCTAAACTACTTTGCCACCACAGTTGTTATCTACTCTAGTCAGCAGGAGACACTAAAACTTTTTGAATGTTCCCCCCACCATCCCTAGCTCTGTACATGAAAAAGTTTTAAAGTACAGACTGAAATCAGTGTTGGGTAAATGTTAGAAATCTCTGCCCTCCTGACTCATAACTGGTAATCCCTACCTTTGAAAAAACCTTCAAGTTTTCTTTCGTATTTTCTGCTGAAGTCATTAATCAGCGTACTTTGCTCTGTTTTTATTTTACTCAAATGCATAGCTGGCTTTCACCTTGTCCATTGTTACTAAAAAATAAAGGTGTTCCAGTACATACAGACTTGATTTCTAGAACTATCACTAAAACCAAGGCAGCATGAGAAGATAACATCATAACCAACAATACCTGAAGCAATCAATTTTGGTTTGTCTCTTTCCTTTATAAAGCTCACTTCAAACATTAGTCCCATCTCCCATAAAGACTAACGTTAAAATGCATCTGAAACCACTTTGACAATAATAAACACTTTTTCAGGCAACTTAAGCAAACATCTCTCAAGCTGAAGAAAATCATTCTCACCCAGAGTTGAGAAACCCTCTAGACTTCTGTTTAACCAAACAGCATTATTCAGAAGCAAGCCACAGCAGTTTTAAGACCCAAGATTAAGTCTCTCATCTAAATTCCACCATGCCACTATTTTTCCCTCAAACTAATCTAACATAAACTATGTGAAATAAGACACAAGGTAAAACTGAACTCCTTGGTAAAGCGACCTTATTTAAAGAGCTTCCTGAAAAACACCATATATTCTCTCAAAAAATTAATGAGGTCACAGAAACCAGTAGAGCATCAATTTCCACCACTTTTCGTAATACTCACTGCAATATCTTTTAGCCAGTCACAGCACTCCTTCCGAAGCTGAGGATCTGTGAAGTTTCCTAATGCCAAGGAATAGTGTCTTTCCGTTTAAAACAGATGGGGGGAAAGAAGGGAAAAAAAAAAAAAAAGCATCAGCAATTTCAAAACATGTTCACATACTCACCTAAATAACCATTATAAGAACAAGACTAAGACAAAGATTTCTTAGTGATGCCTCCTGGAGGAGCCAGAAAATGAGGGGATATAGCCTAGACCAACAACAGCTGAAAGTTCGTTAAATGTTAAAGGTTTTCTTGCCGTAGTAAGTTAATTACAGACTATTTCACAGACAGGATTGTCCGCAGCTCTTTTTAACTGGGGAGAAGAGAAGAGGACAAAAAGCGTGCTGGGTTCCTCCCCCCCGCCATTTCTTTAACGCCTAAGGTAACATAACACAGCTCAGCTACAGGAGGAAAAGCCCGAGGTGGGGGGAGGGGGGGGTGTTGCCACGCCGAAGGTCCTGGCAGCAATCCACAACAGGGAAACGCTTCTCGCTGCCCGGTCAGGGTAACGAATGGGAAAGGCGGGTTACTGTGCCGCTATGAAAGCTCTTACCACACTCGCCAAGTTACGGGCAACGTCGGGAACAGCTCCGACCGCGGCAAGCCCTCCCACACGCCACGGAGTCGCGACCAGGGGGGGTCAAGTCCCGACCGACC